CGGGCCGGGCCCCCGCCGAAGGGTCTGCTCCGGCGCAGTCGAGGCACCCCTGCACCGGACGCCAGCTCTGGCTTTCAGGCTCTTTAGACTGGCGTGCCCCATGTTTGCTCAGCGCCCTTTGGAAAGGCACCGCAAACTCTCTTTTAGCTATGGAGGGCTTCTGCTAGGGAGCCCTGTGGTTTTTAGATCTCGGGCTTAGTGGTTATTTCTCAGCAGCGTGCCCTGAAATTGAATTTTTGTTAACTTTAAATACTGAGCGATAATCCTGGCCCAGTAATTGGAAAAACTGACATCAGTTTCCTTCTGCTGTGAAAAGAAAGCCCAATGCTACTTTCAGCCTGTTAAGTTATTTGCCAGCATAAAGATTTTACAACCCTCTTTGGTGTTTCAGGAGGTAATATGACCTAAATGAAACCAAACATCAAGTTGTTAAATTAGCACAGACAGGAATCCAGCTGCATACTTTCTTTGAAATCCTCATTAGCATGTTACCCTGAACCATAAGATGGCTGAGGGATTCATTTCTGAGAATACTTCAAGGTTTCTCAATAAGCTGCTGCTGCAGATCTATATTTGACTATAGGGATAAATCCTAAAATCTATGCTTGCCAGTAAGGTCAAGGCAGCCAGCGGAGATGTATTGAACCACACTGTCAGAGGTAGACGTTTCAGGCCAAACTCATTCCTGGTGCAGCACTGCTAATTCCTTTGAAGTAACACAAGGGATGAATTTAGTCCCTCATGCTGAAAGATATATCAATAGGAAGCAATTTAGATTGGGCCACTTAAAGTGCATATAATACAAAAAAGAGAGAGAGAGACTGAGGAGTAATGCTCTAAGGGTTCATAGAGGTTGATTTGTGTAAGCTAGTGAGGTTGTAGCATTGCTGTCCCAAGGGAGAGTTGGGGGAATGGGAAATTGCCTTTTATGGCTGAGCCTCAGGTTAACAGGAGAGAGGAAAGTAGTTTTAAGATTACTGTGTAAATTGGCAGTGTTACAGGCTGCCCTTCCAAGTTACATTTCAGTCGCACAATAGCACCTATTCACCTCACCCTCTGCCAATTATCCGGAGACATACCCAGCTGCAGAGTTTACATTGCCTTCATCCACTTTCTCTTTTTCACACAATGCACCAAATGTTGCTGTTGTCTGAGTTCTGACATCTCGGTTGGGATTTGAGGGAGGTGCAGAGAAATTGGTAACTCAGTTGTAAACCCTGTTGCTTTGTTCTCTAAAAACTTGAGAATCTGATGGACTGTACACAAGATAACTTCTCATTCAGAAGGTCCTGTCATTTGACTCACTCTAGGTCCTGATGCGCTTCTGTGCGCTTATAGCAGGAAAACTGCATTATCCTCTGTAGCTGTTAATGATCCTTGCTAAATATTTTTGGAGCTTTGGACTTTGTCATAGGGATAGACTGCTAATCTTATCAGAAAGCAAGCATTTTTATGCCCAGTGTAAATTAGCAAATGAATATTTTATAATGGGTGGGAGGCATGTGAATGGAAGACTTGGTCATTCAGAGATTGCAGCTGCTTTTCTCTGGGGATCTCACACTGTCTCTCTCTTTGACATTTCAGAATAGCTGCTGGAAAGCTGCCCTGCCGTAGCCGCTGACGCTATGGAAGACCGCATCCGCTGGTCTAGGCTGTAGGATGGTAGCGCACAGCAAGGTGTCAGCAGATAATGCAGTTGCAGCAGACCCGAGATGTCTACTTGACCCTCCAGCACAGGATCGTTCACAGGCTCGAGGCTACCACGGCCCAGGCCGGCCCAGCACTGTGCAGGCACAGAGCAACACGCACTTCCGAACCTTTCGCTCGCAAGCGGATTTTAGTAGCATCACTCGAGCAAGCAGCCTGCTGGATGCCTGTGGCTTCTACTGGGGACCTCTGACTGTCAATGCTGCCCACGAGAAGCTGAAGTCTGAGCCTGAGGGCACCTTCCTCATCAGGGACAGCACACAAAAGAATTGCTTCTTTGCCATCAGTGTTAAGACTGCGACTGGGCCCACCAGCATCCGGATAAACTTTCAGACTGGGCGTTTCAGCCTGGATGGCAGCAAAGAGACTTTTGACTGTCTTTTTAAGCTGCTGGAACATTATCTAAGCTCCCCGAGGAAGGTACTGGTTACCCCCCTGCGCAAAGTCCGTGTGCAGCCCCTGCAGGAGCTCTGCCGGAAGAGCATTGTGAAGACTTTTGGAGGAGAGAACTTAAACCAGATCCCCCTCAATCCTGTTCTAAAGGACTATCTGAAATCCTTTCCATTTCAGATATAAGTACAGCATTAACTGTATAGGGACGTGTGAGAGATGTCTAAAGAAATCCAGCTTCCTGGGTTTTTAAACATGTTTGACAGTGAGCAAACTTATTTTTGTAGCAATTTACTGTATTTTGGGATGGAACTTGAACACTTGACTACTTATGTTTACAAAAACTGTTTGCACAAACCTGGGGTTTTAAAACCCTGGCATAATTTTTCTGCCAAGCAGAATATTTTATTATTTTATAATATTTTTAATGATATTAACATAATAAACTTTATTGTGAAAGTTTTTAAAAAAAAATAGCATCTCTGGCTTTAGTTTTAAAGGCTCTGGTACCTATCCTGCTGACAAAATTTAATTGCTAATTGAGTGTGTAAGCGCAGACAGGTCTCCATGTGGTCCTCCTCTTTGCCCTACCAAACTAGCCTGTTTTAGTGCTAATCCAGCAGACAGAGGATTCCTGCCCCAAAAAGCCTAAAATAGAAACATGCAAGTGAGTAGAAAATGTACTCAGGATGAATCTGCCCAGGAGTCCAGCGCTCTTCTAAATCCATGAGAGCAGGAACAGTGTGTTAAGACTACAGCGGTGCATAGTTTTTGAAACAGTGAATCAAACCCTTGGCTGAGCTAATTGTGCCAACTCTGGCTTGCCTTACTGCTATTAAAAGCTAGAAGGCTCTAAGTGAGAAGAGGTTGCTGTCTGACATAAACAAACCACATGAACGTCGGTGGGAAAAAATAACTGTCCAGAAATGACATTCAGACACTTGAAAAGGCTGTGAACACTGTATCATTATGATGCATTGGGGGAAGGATAGCCCTTTAAATGGGCATACACAAAATGACAAAGGTGCAGACATCTTTAGACTTCAGAAAGGTGTTTCTTGTCTTAAATTCCTGGTGATCTACAGAGCACAGACTTGATACTTTAAAAGAATCTCTGACTTAGCTCCATGACAGGATCCAGAGAGCAGAAGCCTATAGAATTGCAGCTGTAATTTCTAGTGGCTAAACTGCATTCAAAGAAAGTTAAAATACATTAGACTGTTTTGTAATACCATTTGTAGGAAATTGGTGAAGGCACTGCTGGGTTTCTGCCTGCTCATAAAATGCAAAATCAGTGCCCCATAGAGCTGTAACTGTGAATGACTTGAGATGTCTAATTTGGCAAAATCACCTGCATTATTATAAAGTGATTCTCCCCTCCCCCAAGCATTTCCTGAAATCCATGAAAAGCTGACTTAGAAAACCATCTGAACCAAATCACTTCAAAGAAGGCACAGAGTCTTTCACAGAAATGTACTCTATCAGCACTGATCTATGGGGCTTACAGTAACTGTAAGCAGTAAATGAAGTCATCTTTAGAGTTTGGAAGATAAAAGGTCTCTCCCTCTACTGTAATTCACATTCCTTTTAAAGCTAAAGGCACTTTTAGGAAACATTGAGCATGTGTTATATAGTGTTCCTTACTGAATAATTTGTTTAGTATCATTTACTCTACAAAAATCAGCTCTTGCATCATTTATATTTCTTTGGAATAAATAGGTTTCCTCCTCAAACATGACTAAGGATCACTCAGAGTGCATCAGACATTGTGAAAAAGGGAAAAAGAACGAACATACAGGCAGTATCATGTGACCCTTTACTGTGCTGCTTCCCTAAAAATGTTCTTTGGATTGGTCCTGCCTCGCAGTCTCCCATTCCCTTGTCGGCCATCCCTGACTGAGATTAGCAGACAGCATTTCTGCTTAATTCTAAAGCTGGAATTAGTTGCCGAATGATGCATTTTCCCACAGCAGCTGCAAGGATATAAATTGGGGAAGTAGTGAATGCTGTGCTATGCAGCAGATACAAGAACAGAGCAAAGCAACTGCCTGAATGTGAATAGCTTTAAGAAGTTAAATTGGGGGGGGGAAGTCTTTGCAGGGTGAAGGCTGCCAAACTGGTTTGCTGTCAGCAGAGATTGTTACCCCTTTCTCTGTCCTCTTTTCCCAGCCCCACACTGTAGTATCCTTTAACCCTTCAGGCCCCAAATTAATGACTCTTGCCTTGCTATATAAATGAGCGTCCACATGACAGCATTAGTGGTAGAAAAAGCACAATGTAGCTTAGAAGGTTCTCCACCACCCCTGATAAAAAACAAAACTAGACGTAGATACATGGTAAGGGGCTTCCCACTGAGAGGCATGGAATGAAAAGCATAAGGATTGAGCCCATTTCATTTTCTTCCTGGCAGAAACAAACCTACTTTCTTTCTCTCTCCCTTTTATTGCTATAGAGTAAGTTTAGCAGAAATTACCTATATCCTCCCACATGAAGTGCCTAAATCCCTTCATTTTGTCTTTAATATGAAATGCAAATGTGGGATAGCTCAGAAAAAAATATAATCAAAACTATAAATAAGGACAAGAAGGTCAGAATTGTATAAAAGATCTCTTAAGGAAAGAGGAGACAAAGCTGGCTTGTATTTTTAAACTACATATCTTTTCACCTGCCTTATTATTCTTCCCCTTCCTTCCTTTCCTTCTTTCTCGCGCTCTCTCTCTCCTTAGCATACAATACAGTGGCCAGGCAGATCCTCTTTCTAGCAGGTATTTGTAGGTTGCTCCAAAGCAAGTAAGAAATTCTAACCACAGTATGTGTGTTCACAATGTCACTCTGACTTGCCCTCTGTAAGAAGGGCTCTCTAAAATGTCTGCTTATCTGTGTGCACTGATTTAAGGACTCTGTCACGCATAGTAGGAGTCTCCTGAAGATTTCTGTAGTAATTCCAGCTGTCAAGTCTCTCATCTTCTGTTTAATAAAGTACGAGCAAGGTCAAATAGGGAATTTGCTGTATTCTGTACCTAAAGCAATGGAAACACATAACAGTGCAGTGACTTTAATCCTCCCTGCTAAACAGTATGTTAAGAGTGGTGTTTCCAGTCCCTCCCCCTCTTGCCCAGCTCTTTCCTCTGACCTTTTCACTCCTGGCTGTGGCTGGAAAGTGAAGTAAACAGTCAATCTGGTAAAGGACTATGGAAGAATTTGAGCCACGCTCAGGAGCAGAGCAAAGGACCTCACGAGGACCCTGGTGGTCTCTGTGCAGCAGGGTCTTCCTGGAACACCACCCCAGCCCTGCTCCAGTACAATGCTCCTGTGACCGTACAGGCAGCAAGACTGAGGCTTCCTCACTTTTTAAAGACAGAAACACACATTTGCTTTCACAGGAGGTTAATTTACATACCATGCTGCAGCTGTAAAACTTGCTAACGAATAGAGCTAATTAATAGAACTGTAGGTGTTCAGAGAACCTGGTTAATTTAGCTGTGAAGAGTTATTGAATGCTCAATAGGAGCCTCTTGAATGACAAGCATAACCTTACCCACTGTGAATCTGTGGTCACACTAATTCTGTTACGATTGAAGTCATTTACAAGAAGTGAGGCTTCAGCTGCAGTCAGCACTGATGCTATTTTCAACAGTCAAGAAAAAAGTGTCCCCTAGGGCAACACGCTGACTGTATCTAGCCATCAATATTCCTAACCCAGCTTGTACTTAATCCTCTATCCACCTCCTGAACCTTCTTCAGATCCAGTGTCAGCCCTTTCTGTTGTACTGGGCTGTCATTCAGTCCCTGGCTCTCCTTCCACCCCTCCATTCATGGTGCTGACAGCTGTGTGAGCAATGCATTTATTCATTAATTCCAGCTTTGAGACAAAGGCTGTGTAACAGCAACTTAATTCAGACTCTACATTGCTTTCTGTGCAAAGAGGAAGCTAACAACTGCATGTGCAGTAGGTTTCCAGGATGTTTCTCCCAATTGCAAAGAAGTGCTGTTCAAGACTTTTCATTGCCACTGACTTGTCTGTTGTCATACTTCTGCACAGTACTCAGATCCTGTCACTGTATCTGACTTTTTCCTCCACAGCTGTTTCCCAACATAGCAGCCAAATTTGCTACACCTGGGTCCAATTTGCTCTTTGTGTCACCATGGAATAACAGAAACACAGGCCAGCAGCGAGCATAAAGAAAAGCCCAACTTCTCCCACCCATCCTAACGTATAACCACTGCTCAAGTACGGCAAAGCAGCAAAGGCCAAAGAATCAGAATATAAACCCCTGACTGACAGATGGGTGAGTTAGCCACACACCATAAGTATTTCCCCTCTGTCTGGACCTTAGTGACATGCTTTGGATGTGGTTACTGAAGACAAGAATGATAGAGATGATGCTTGTGCATAGCAAAGCAATTACCCTATAGTCTTCAGCTATGAGAAGAGCAGATACTGTGAGGATGGAATAGCAGCCAAACAGAATAAAGCAAATAACTAACTGTGCTGCAAGCCACATTTGCTCAGTTTCCTTCATTCTGCTCCTCTTGATACTATTAGCAAGGCAAAATAGGATCACCTTTCTGTTGTCATTTTAATCCCAGTTACAGGTATATTTTTTGTAGCTCCCAGCCGTGTAGAAGAATAATAAATCCAGTCATCGCTCTTTAAGAGTTCTGTCTCCTTCTGTGAATCACTACTGCCTGGCCTGCTTCTGCTTGTGAGCACAAAGGTTCATCTTCACTAACAGACTGTTTTGAGGTTTTTTTGTTCTCTGCTGCTAACTAAAATAAAGCAACTGTGAAGATTTGCTAATTTTTTGCTGAATAAGATCCACTGGCCACTGTGCTGTGCTTGTAGGTGTGCATAATCCCTCCAGACACGTCTGTGGAAGTAAAGTTCTGACTGAGTGGTAAAAAAGGGGAACTTTAGTAAGTTTTTAATCAGAGGCTTCTTACACACTTATCTATTGCCAAACACTTATCACTTCTTCCACAGAAATACTCATTAAATGCCTCTTTCTTCCCAATGTAATTAATTCCTTTAGTTCTATTTTTGTTACAGGAAAGGGTTATTTGGTTTAATCTTAACAGTATCCTTGTTTACACATGATTCTGAATTCTACAGCCTGTAGTTGTCTACACTGAATACAGTGGGCCAAAACACGCTCAGGTTTACAGTGAGCTATTCCATGGGCAGATCCAGAATGGTGCCAGGATGCTTAAGAAGACACTCTGACCCAGACATCTGTGCACTCGCAGTATTGCATGGGCTCAGGATGTATACACAGTGTTGTTAGCTTAAGGCAACTTGTGGATCAGATCTAGTGATCATTGGTGGGACGTTAGTTCCACAAAGCCCCTTTACTTATATTTTACAGCATTTTTGCATGCCATAAAGATTTGAAGGCTAGGAGATACCAATAATTAATCTAGTTTGACTTTCTGTATATTAAAAAAGGCCTCAGAAGTTTC